TAAAAAAAAATTAAAAAGACATTTAAACACGGAAGAGTTGAAAGGATGGTGTAATGGTCACTTGCACAGCCACAACTGAGATTCAGTCATATGTGTTTTGTTGCCGTGTATTTTGCTAAAACATTGAAAATTTAATTGTAGATACCATGACGCTTAACCCCGAAATACTTCAGCATCTATCTTCTAAAAAATAAAAATGCTTTCCCCTCTAGTCACATGTTATCATATACCCAAGAAAATTAAGAGGAATCCGCTCACATTGAATCGATATTCAAATAAAACCAATTATTCCCAAATTGCATTTTATAGATTTTTTTTTTTGTAGTGGGGATTGAGCCCAGGGATGCTTAACCACTGAACTACATCCAAAGCCCTTTTAAAAAATATTTTATTTAGAGAGAGAGTCTTGCTAAGTTGCTTAGGGACTCGCTAAATTGCTGAGGCTGGCCTCGAACTTGTGATCCTCCTGCCTTGGCCTGCCGAGCTCCTGGGATTACAGGTGAGGGCTGTTAGGTGCAGGACAGGCTGAGTCAGCTGTCTGCAGGGCATGCCAAACAAAGTTAACTGCAGGATGACCTGGCCACTTAACCCTCTGTCTGGTTCTTTATCAACTATTTGCTTCAAGCCCAAACGCCCAAGCCCCCACTCAAGACTGAACACTCAACCCCCTGCTCAAAGCCAAGCACCTAACCCCCTTGTGTGCCAACAAGGCAGTTTGCAGACCCAGAGACCCCATTAGATTTGGGCTATAAAAACTCCCTCCTGCCGGGCCCCTCTCTCTGTCTCTCTTGCTCTCTCTCTCTCTCTTTCTCTTTCTCTCTTTTCTCCTCTGTTGCACTGCTGCAGTAAAGCTCTCTTGGTCGCTCTGAGTGTTGTGGTCACTTTTATTTCAAGGGCCACTGGCTAGATGTTTGGTTTCTGAACCAGGACCCAAGAAGGTTTACACATGGCAGTTAAGACACTCAGTTGACACACTCAGTTAAGCTGAAGCCACACAGTCTTGCGTCTGCTTAGACTCTTCTGGTCTGGTATGGGTGCTTGCAGTGGGTTTGGGGACTTGTTAGAAATGTAACTTCACAGGCCTCACCCCAGAGGACTCTGGGGGAGGTGCCCAGATATCTGTTCCAACCAGCCAGGGCCTTCTTCTTCCTGCCCAGGCTTAAGAAACCCTTAAGAAACAGCCCCTCATCTTTTCTTGCCTCTGCGACATTTACTTACAAAGAGACCAGCCTCGCTCGCTGTCTGGAGCACACCCCGTGTTCTGAACTTGCCAGCCTCATGTTCCTCGGTCCTCAGCTACTTGGTGGGTGACACTAATAAGCAGCCAGGTTAAGGACTGCTGTGACAGCTTTTGGCTGAGCCAGCAGAGCTCTGAGACCCTTTGGGTCCTTGGGGCCTCAGGCATCCAGGGAGCTCCGTGGGCTGGATCCCATTGCTATCCCAGCGAAGTCACCTCATCTCTCCCTGTCAGCACAGACTAGGAATTTAGGGAACTACAGCAAGACCTGGGCTCACAGGGGACGCAGATGGAGGACAGAGGAAGCTGAGCATCTTCTGAGACGGGGGTGACACGAGGTACCTGGGAACCCCAGAGGGGGCATGGCTGCAGGATGTCAGTCTGCAGCCGGCAAAGAGGCCGTGTCCTATTCCTTCCCGGGCAGCAGAATCCAGGGACAGACTTGTGACCCCGTCACATTCCAAGAGCCTAGACCTCCTTTCAGTTTTCTGGTGTCCCTTATTACCCAGAGGTTTCATGTCATTCTTTTTTCTTTTCTTTTTTTTTTTTTGGGGGGGGGGCGGTACTGAGGCTTGAACTCAGGGGCACTTGACCACTGAGCCCATCCCCAGCCCTATTTTGTATTTTACTTAGAGACAGGGTCCCACTGAGTTGCTTAGTGCCTCACTTTTGCTGAGGCTGGCTTTGAACTCACGATCCTCCTGCCTCAGCCTCCCAAGCTGCTGGGATGACAGGCGGGTACCATAGCGCCCAGCTCGTGTGATTCATTCATTTATCATGCATTTTTAAATGCTAAATTGACAAAATTAGTGGATATCCACTACATCTTTTTTTATTATTATAATTAGGTGCTGGGAATTGAACTCAGGGTCTTGAACATGGTAAGCAAGTGCTGCACCACCAAGTCACACACCTAGCCGCATCTTATAGTATTCATGGCATCTCATGGTCCATACCATAATTGTAATGAACTATAATCCCAAATCCGCCACTTCCAGAAGCGCCCCCCCCATCTTTTCCTTTAAGGTCAGAATAAAATGCCTGGAGTCTGCCCTTACTACATACCAAGGAAAATCAAGTCCTTCATGATCTCTGAGGATCCCCGAGGTGGGGTCTCCCTCTCCTGGCTCAGGCAGTGCCTAGTCTTTTTCTTGACTGTCACTAATGTGCTTGGCTTCGGAAGTCACTCTCCTCTTTTTGCCCTTTTTTGGCTCCAAATGGAAACCCCCGGATTCCTGATTGCTCCGAAGCTCCGCTAACTCAAGGTTGGGTGACGAACAATCTCCTTCCCTCAGCTGCCAGTAAATACCTCTAAATTACTTTTCTTCCGCCCACATTTCCATCCTAAACCAGGCACTAGATGGTATATAGTCTTGGCATTTCTGAGAGAGGGAGGTGCCGTTCGGGGACTCCCCCTCACTGATGTAAATCTAAGTTGAGGAGGCATCTATTGTGTGAGCAAAAGGCAGAATGGGACCTTCCAGGTTGCTTCTTCCAATATCCCTTGTCTTGGATTGCTTTTGGGGAAAATTTGCATAGAGCTCAAGGAGCATCTTGGGAAGAAAAGGAATCCGGACCACAATTCTTTTTCCTTCTGAAGTTCAATGTTATTGGGAGTTTTGATGGACTGACTTAGTCCAGACTGGAGACCACAGACAGAAAAGGACACTGAACTCATGCAAGAGGGAACTGGCCATGATCTACAGGAGGGGACCCAGCCTAAATGAAAGGTTCCAGGAGCACACAGGAAATCCGTCTGGTCTCTTGCAGTGTGTGGATAGAGCTGGGAACTCCTTCTGTCAAGCCATTAACATGGGGTGGGAGGGTAAAAGTTTTTTGTTCTGAGGTGATGATACCAGAGTGGCAGAGACAGAAGCTGTTCAACAGGAAACCCAGGCCCTCTAGTGGTTAATTCTCATGTTTTTGGACACATTGGGTGTCCCAAAGAGGTGATGATTTGTACACCAAGCTGGGGAACCTGCTATACTGTTTGCATTTGTAGATTTCCCCTCCACCCTCCAATCTGTTGTAAAGGGACAATTGTCCGCAGGTGTCTGTCCTTACTACTGCAGGACAGTGGCAGACATTTTGGAATGAAGGAGTTTCCTTTAACATATTGTAGATCCAATTCTTGGGTAGCAGTCCTCCAGCTTCTGATCTGGTCTGAGTGGTATTTTTTCTTTTTTTCCTTTTTCTTCTCTTTTTCTTTTTCTCTCTCCTCCCCCCATTCCATAGATCATTATGTAACTGATTTAATGTCTGTTTTCTTCTTTAAAAGGAAACTTCATTTTATTTTTTATTTTTTGGTACAGAGGTTTGAACCCAGGTGCACTTCATTCACCAGTGAGCCACATCCCCAGCCCTTTTATTTTAGATATTTTATTAGAGACAGGGTCTTGCTGAGTTGCTTAGGGTCTTGCTAAGCTGCTGAGGCTGGCTTTGAACTCACCATCCTCCTGCCTCAGCCTCCTGAGCTGCTGGGATGACAGGCGTGGATTGCCTCTGTCTGTTGCTCTCTGAAAACAGTGTTGGGTATTCGTTCATTGATTTGATTACTTGTGGCAAAGTGCCCATCATGTGCCAGGCCCTGTACCAGGCATGGATGGGGCGGTGGGGAGTAGCCATTTGCCAAATCCTGTCTCTGCTCTTACGTAGCTTGCGTCCTAGCAAGGAGATAGGGATGACAATATGTGGCTTGGCGGTGGTGTGGGCTGCACGGTGTGTGATGAAGTCAATAAGGACCTGCAGCCCCAGATCCTTTGACCTTTGGGTAGGGACCTGGAGGGAGGGAGGGTGGGAGAATCCAAGGTGAAGGTCAAGGCCCTCAGGTGAGACCATGCTTGGCTGTCCTGGGAACAGCGAAAGGCCAACCTGGAGGCAGGTGGTACTGGGAAAGGAGCCCGGATGAGGCTGGAAGGCAGCAGGGCCTGACCTGCTACCCTGTGGGATCCTGGGGATCACTGAGAAGACCTGGGCTTTGATGTGGAGAGCTAGCGGAGGGTTCTGACCGAGCGATGGGTCTTTTAATAAGTAAGAACCACTCTGGCTGCTGTCCCATGAAGAGCTCATGGGACTCCAGAGAGGGAACTGTGAGCCAAAGAGGCCACTGTGACAGGCTCGCATGGTGGGGCTGCATCCAGAGCTGTTCTGTTGACATGAGTAGATAATTAGCCCGAGCTCCCTTGAGTGGACGTTGAATTATGTAACTCCCCGTAGCCACCCACTTCCCCGGCTTCAGAACCTCCTTAGGCCTTTGGCCACGTCTGCTGCCCATTGAGCTTCCCACACCCCGTGTGACCTAAGGTCCAGAGAACTAGTCTTCGGGCCCTGTCTTTAGCCAGTATTCCTGAGGGTTCCAAACCGGATGAGCTTCAGGGCCTGGCCTTGTGATTGGGTAACGTCCATCTCCATTTTTAGATGGCTGCTGCCCAAGCCCAGGGGCCCTGTCTGTCCTGCTCACTGGTCCGTCTGGAGCCAGTTTTCCAAAGGTGCTCAATAAATGATCGCTGAGTGGTGGCCAGATGAACTGGCCGGCTCTGTTCTTCAGGACTTTGGCCTGTTTCCTGCCCCGTCTGAAGGTTCCAGGTTGAAGCTGGACACCAGGCTAGGGACGATTCCCTGCCCCTCCCCACAGTCAGGTCTTCAGTGCCCCCACCCTTGAGCCCTGGCCTGGGGTAGCAGCCCCCAGTCTGGAAATGCCACCTCGAGAGGCCCTATGTGTCCCTTGCCACCCTGCAGTCGAGACAACACAGCCACCCAGGGATAATTTTTCTAAACTTTTGTTTATTTTATAGCAATTGTCATGATAAGAGAAGTAGATAACACATTTAAAAACTTTCTCAGGGCCAAAGGGTGCCAGAGTATTTACAAACACATATTGGGGGGTCGCGGGGGCAAGACATGAGTCTGGGGCTCTGGGGCTGGGGTTCCACCCAGGACCCTGCCCCAGGTCCCAAGCCAGGCTTGAATGCTACCAGCCTGGGGGCTCTGTTCAGTGGACCTGGTGGGGGACCCTCCAGCTGGCCCGTGGCCCCACCTCCCATCCATGGGGCTCCCCACACCCCACAGGCCAGCTCAGAGGGGCCTCTGGGAAGCACCGAAGGACGGGGGCAGTGTGGGAGACACAGGGGCTTGGACAGAGGCCCGGGACGCCCTGGCCTGCCCCGGGGTGGGTCAGAGACCCCCACAGGTGCGCACACACACGTACACATTGTACCTTCACAGAGGAACCGCAAGGGGGAGGGTTTTTTGTGATTTTTTTTTTTTGTCTTCTAAGTCTCCATGTCTACGGTGTTATTAATTTTTTGCTATTTTTTTGTTTCTTCAACAATGACATAAACTGAGGTAAACATCTGTGACCAACACCTCTCCTAAGGGGCAAAGGGTCCCAACCCGACCAACAGAGACAGTAGCAGCAGCAGCGGCGGCGGCAACAGGAACAGAGTCCTGGCCCAGTTCCAGTCCTGCTCAGGGTCAGGCTGGTTGCTGCCGCTGAAAACAGAGGGGAGTGGGCTACATAGCTATGGTCCCCCGAGCTCTAACATCCTAGGTACTAGTACGACAAGGGAGGACACTCCCAACAGGATCTCAACAGAGAGGGAGAGGGCGTCTGGCGGGGACGAGGACTGGAGTCTCGCTTCCTTGTTATTGCAGGAGATCAGGCTGTCGAGAGGCCTAAGGCAAAAGGAGAAGTGGCTGCTGGACAGAGGGCCTGGACGGCCCAGGTGGCCGGGCAGTGACGGGGCCTTCTCTGAGATGTGGCCTCGGCGGGAGGGGGTTTGCTACTTACCTGGCGTAGGTGGGCCCCATGCCCTCTGGGAGAGGGGTCTCGAGGATCGGGCGCACTGGGGAGCGGGCCAGGCCCTGGATGACCACACGCTGATTGTAAACTGGGCAGGGCAGGGGACCTATAGCCCTTTTGCGTGGTGGGACTGAGGGGTGGGTGGAGATGTGGGGGCTCCAGGTCAGAGGGTGGTTGGTGTCCCCTGTCGCAGGCCTGGCCTATCAAGGAGTCCCCTCAAACGCTCCAGAACCCCAGGAGGAACCCTGGTAGAGGCAGCCGGGGCTGGTGGGCAGGGCACTGCCAGGCAGCGGGAGCAGCCTCACCCACGTTGAGGTTATTGCGGGCCCAGCCTCCACAGAGGCGGGTCGCGGGGAGCTGGCTGAGGCTGGCTCCTTTCCTCTTGGTTTTGCCGCCCAGGGGCCAGGACCAGGCTGCAGGTGCCTCCTTGCTGGATTCCCTGAGGGGTGTGGTCAAAATGCAGGCCTGGCAGCCCTCTTGACAGCTGCCTGGTGAGGAGGCCCAGGCAGGGGTGCAGAGGCGTCTGGCTGCACAGTCACCGGGAAGCACAGGGCATCCCACACATGTGCTCTACACACCCGCACACACCAGTCACTTGCCCTTGCACACACCAGTCACTTACCCTCGCGGGCTTCCACGCCCTCCCTCATGCCCACAGATGCCCTCCTACCCCTGCCTTCTCCAGGGACTACAGAGGTGGGGGTGGGGTCAGCCTGAAGGGGCAACGTGAAAATGGAATGTCTGACCCCAGCAGCAGCCCAGGAGAAATGACTGTTCCAAACTAACTTGCTGCCCCTGGGGTCCCCACTGAGTGTCCAGGTGGAGCCCGAGGACTGGGAGGATCTCCCGGGGCAGGCGGCAGGTGCCTCTGCAGAGGGAGCTGGACCTGCCCTGGGCTCCCCTGCCCTAGAGGATGCGGTGGCCCCTGAGACCCCTGCCCTGGAGCCCTTCTGACCCCCAGAGGTGTAAGGACAGTAGTTTTGGGGATAGGGAGAGTGGAAGGACTACCAGAGCACCACCTCAGTGGCTGTGTGGCCAGGGCAATGTCTCCCCTCCTGGGCTCAGGGTTCTTATCAGCAGAATGGGGGTGTAGGGACACCACTAGATTCTTGGGGCCTGTGCCCGCACATATGTGACATCCAGACTTGTGCTACATTGTCCAGGGGCTTGGCCTCTCCCTCCAGCCTCCCAGGAAAGGGGCAGGATATGCTTGCCCTCTGCTGGATGCCCTCCTCCTTCGCACCAGGACTCACGCCCTATCTCAGCCCTAAGCTTCAGTCCCTTTCTGTGCCCAGGGTGCAATGGGGACAGAGTGGAGTGGCCAGAAGGGCGGGGACTGTGGGATAATCTACCAGGGTGTGCAAAGGGCCAGGAGCAACTTGTAGGGGTCCCAGGGCTCAGGGAGGTGTGGGGGAGTCTGGCCCGCAAGCTCCCTGGCTCTGGTGTCGGGGCCTCTGAATCCTCGAGTCTGCGGGGTTTGGCTCCCTGGGCCGAGGCCCACCGGCAGGGCCGCGCGAGGTCTCCTGGTGGCTCTATCACCCGCCCGCCGGACTGGCCGGGTGCCTGGGCCGTCTACTCTACTGCTACTCCCTCCCGCCGCCGAGCGGCTGCTCCATATCCCGCCTGGCAGAACCGGCTCAGCGCGGACCGAGGGCTGCTCCCCAGCCGCCCGGCTGCGTGCTCGGCGCCCTGGCCCGAGGGCGGCGGGGCCGGCTCAGACGCAGATCTCGATGGCCGTGGCCAACACCACCTGCCCTTTGCTCTTGTCCGGGCGGCCATCGGTCCTGCCAGGGGGCCCCGGGGGCGCCAGGCCAGCCTCAGGCACCGGAACGGGCACGGGCACGGGCACGGGCACGGGCACCGGCACCGGCCCGACAGCAGGGGGCGCGGGCCGCGAGCCGCTGCCGCTCTCGGTCAGCACCGTGCGCTTGAGCGGCCCGGGCGCCTCGAGGCGCAGCGGCCCCGCGGCGGGCAGGCGGTCCCCGGGGCCCGGCGGCTTGCGCGCGCGGTGCGAGGGCCGCCGCCGCAGCTCGGACGTGAGCTCGTGCTTGAGGAAGCGGAAGACCTCCTTGGCCGGCCCGCGGCGCTCGGGCTCCAGGGCCAGCAGGCGCTGGAACATGCGCAGCGCCGGCTCCGTGAAGCGGCGCCACTGCGACGGCAGCCCGGGCAGGCGGCCGCGCTGCCAACGCACGAACTCCTCGAAGAAGGCGTCGGCGCCCGACGCCGCCTCCCACGGGAAGTTGCCGGTGAGCACGCAGAAGATGAGCACGCCGAAGGCCCACACGTCCACGCCCGTGTCCACCGCGAAGCCGTCGGCGCGGCCCGCCTGGCACACCTCGGGCGCCGTGTAGGGGATCGTGCCGCTCACGCGCTTCACGCGGCAGCCCACGCGGCGCGTCATCCCGAAGTCGGCCAGCTTCACCCGGCGACACTCACGATCGAACAGCAGCACGTTCTCAGGCTTGATGTCGCGGTGCACCAGCTGCCGCCCGTGCATGAAGTCCAGCGCCAGGCCCAGCTGCTGCACGCAGCGCTTCACGGTGTCCTCCGGGAGCCCAACCTGCCAGCCAGGCAGGAGAGCCAAGCTAAGTGGTGACCAGGCACGCCTGCCCCACCCCACCTCCTCCTCCGTCCTCAGGCCCTGCCCCGGGGCTGCGCCCTCTGGCTGCCTCTAAGTGGACATTGCCCCTCTCCCGTGGCTGCCCCAGGTCCTGGTGCCAGCCACCCTCCCCCATCCTAGCAGGCACTTTTCCATCCCATCTCTGGGGGGGGGGGGTGGCTGTCATCCCCCACTCTACTCAATAACGGTGGCAATCCCAGACTGAGCCCCAGGTGCAGACCAGGTGCTGCCATAAGCCCCTTTTCAGATGGGTCTTATGTCCACTTCCCCTAAAGGACACTGAGGCTCCAGGAAGCCTCCTCCACCAGCACTTGGCACAGTGGAGTCTATCCTGGGGTCTTCCTCACTCTCTCTGCCCCAGGGTCACCTCCTTTCCAGGTGGACCTGACACCTCCCACTTTGAGCAGCTCCTGAGCAAGGTGCCACTGGACTTGAGCCCATGGCCCTGCTGTCTCCTCCCGGGTGATCATCTCTGTCGTCATCTGGCCTATCAGGGGCAGGTTTCACTAGGACAGGGGCAGGACCTTTCTCTTCCGCAGCTCTCCAAATAGGGAAGGACATACAGTAGGCACTCAATAAATGCATGTTGATTCAACCGTCTGACTCCTAGTCTCACACTCTGGGGACCCTGAAGACCATTTCCCCTCTCTATGCCACCACCCCAGGTACCTGGGGAGGGATGATGTCAAACAGGTCCCCAGCAGGCGCGTACTCCTGGGCGAAGACGTAGCAGTCCTCGGTCTCGAAGACCACGTCGAAGGCCTTGATGATGAAGGGGCTGGATGAGAGGCTGTTGGTGATGCTCACCTCCCGCAGGAAGTTCTTTAGCTTCGTTTTGCTCTTGTTCACAAACTTCAGTGCCATTTTTGTGCCTGGTGGGGGCCATGGTGACAATGGTGAGGCCTCTCCCTGTACCTTGCACCTGCCACATTCCCATACCTGTCTGCACAGCCTGTCCAGCAACAAGGCCCACCAGGGCTCTAGCAGGCATGACGGTCCCTGTCCTGTAGATGGGAAACAGGCCCAGAGAGGGGAATGGACTTGCCTGAGGCCACACAGCAGGCCTTGCTCAGGTGCGTCTGCTGCCCTGTCTGCAGCCCTCCACAGGAGGTGCTCAGGAGGCTGCTGCCTCCACCCCTGCTCTCCTGTTTTGCGGCCATGCTGTATACTTATTTGTGGCATCTCTTTTCCCAGCCAGAGCATGGCTCCTCGAGCACAGGAAACTGTCTTGTCAGCTGCTATGTCCCTGAGTCTAGCACAGAGTAGTTGCTCAGCAAAGATTTGTTAAATGGGTGAACAAAGAAGATACGACACTGAAAGACAAAGGTCCCTGACACTGTGCCTGGATAGACACGTGTGCCCTCCCGGATGCACACATGTGTGTCCACAGAGCACTTACCTGTGACAGGACCGCCTCCATCACCTCACATTCACGACTCATGCTTCATACTGACCCTAGGAGGGGAGCGCTAGCCCTGTTTTCTAAATGAGGGAATGGAGGCACAAGAAGGTGGTCACTTGTCACACAGCAAGCAAGCAGTGGTCAGGGACCCATGTCCAGTACTACTCCTGCTGCCCTCAGTGGGCACAGAGACCCGGCCCTGACTGTGTGCCCTCTGAGTGGGCACTGCTGTGAGGTGGGGGCTAAGCGAGATGGATCTGGAACTAGCAACTGGGTGCCATCCAGGTTTGAGACCTCTAGCTGCACGACCTTGGCTAGGTGTGGGTCTCAGTGTCCCCCTGGAGAAATGGCGATGGTCACCCTGACCTCACCTTCTGACCATGGGACCCTACTCCCAAGGACCCCTCACTCTGTCCACCTCCCTAGGGCTAGCCATCACCACATCACCAACTCCCCAAGCACAACTGTACCCCCGTTCTCTCCCCCGAACTCCTGAGGTCCCTGGGTGCATCCCCTTGGCTGTACCAAATGGCCCCCAGATGGCCCCCAAATGGCCTGCCCTCCAGCCTGGAACTCTGCCCTGAGTCCTCCTTGTCCCATCTGCTTGGTCTCCTCTCCGGGCTGCTTCAGTTTCTGTCCCCTCCTCCAGGACCACGGTCTCTGCCTCCTAGCTCCCCATCAACCTTAATAACGGCCACCCTGTGGACACTCACCTGTGCCCTTGTAGGCCACCAGGTCGACCTTCCCATAGGTGCCTTTGCCCAGCTCCCGGACAAGTTCATAGTGCTTGGTGACATCGCTGGCAGCCAGTGTGCGGAGGGTCAGTGCCTGCATGTCTTCGGTCAGGAGGGGCACACCTGTGCCCGGGCCTGGGGTGGTCCCTGGCCCACAGCAGGGCAGGGAGTGCGGCGGGTCGGGCTCTGGGCAGCCCACGCTCATCTTCTCCCTGTTGTGTGTGGGGGGTTCAGTGTGAAGAGTGACATCAGACCAGGTCCCCCTTCTCCACCTACCTGCTGCTGCCTCCCCTGCACCCAGGAAACACTCCTGGGCCCCATGCTAGGCCCAAGATGACCACAAGGGGGCGATAAGCATCTCTGTCACATCACTTTCCAGAAGCTTCCTGGTCAGGCTGGAGCCAATCTCTGTGGCTCATTAGCACTTGTGCACCCCTGGCCCATTGGTCTGCTGCTGTCATCTACCTAGCGCCAGGCAAGGCACTCGTTTATGTCACAGACACGGCCATATGTCAACCTCAGGTGCTTTTTCTCATTCATAAGTTTGCCTTGTGCTTTGCTTTCTCAGGAGATGAAACCAGGACTGTGTGCAAGCTCAGCTCGCACTGAGCCACATCCCGGCCCCAGCCCCGAATACGAAGCAAGTGCTGTCAGGCGGGCATCAAAACCCTAGGAGGCAGCACTCACCCGACACACACAAATCCCTGCTCTTCGGTGCTTACGTCCCAGGGAGAAGGGACAATAAACAGAAAAAACACAAATTATATATGATGATCAGAGGGGACGTGGGCTGTGGGGGGGACAAGGCTGGGATGGATGAAGGGCAGGCCTGAGGGGGACTGTGGCATCCAGTGCCTCCACCACGTGGCCTTGCCTCGGCTCTGGCAGGACAGTGCAGACACGGCCACACACAGCACTGCCTAGACCTCCCCCAACAGATGACAACACAACCCTGCTCGGGCACAACACAGTTGTGGTCCCAAGGCTGCACCCTCCCCCGTCCCTGGATGCTGGGACAAAGACCCCGTCCTTCTTTCCAGTCACTGCCTGAGACTCCTTTGTTGTCCACACAAGCTGGGGTGGTCCTCCTGGACCCACCCCTCACGGCCACTGCGTTTGTCCCCAAGTAGACCAGTGTCCTTGAATCTAACTGTGCGTACTGGGGTGGGAGGGAGCAGGGTGTCACAGGGGGTGAGTCCAGGGCTGGGGACGGGAGACCTGACTGAAAGGCTCCAAGTGGGTGACAGCAAACTCAAGAGGGTGACAGGGAGCTCATGCCCGATCCTGGACTTTATTTTTCCCTGTTATTTACTTCACTTAGTTTTCCTGCAGTCTGTTGAGGCGTGTTGGATGGAGGCACATCACTACACATATCCAAACCCCAGGAGCTGATGAGTCGTGACAGATCCATATTCATGAAACCACCATATGCCCGTCACCCCAAGAGTTTGCTTTTGCCCCTTATAAGCTCCTGACCCTCCACATCCTTGTCTTCTAGGTGTCCACTCTGGGACCTTCATTTCTTGGGTGCAAAGGGAGGGCTGGGCCTTTTCCCAGCGCACGCGTGAAGGTGTGCACGCATGCACGCATCAGCCGTGGGGGCCAGTACCCGCCCTCTATCACCTGCCCTCCTGGCGCACCTCCCTCTGCCCTGGCCTCGTTCCCTGTTACTTCTAATCCCAGAGGCCTCACCCGGCACTCCCAGCCCCCCAGTCCTCTGCTCCCTGAAGGACAAGCACCATCGCTCCATCGAGAGAAAGCACAGATTTGGAGTCAGCCTGGGTTTGAGTCCTAAATCTGTCGCTTGCTCGCTGGATGTGATGGGCAGGTTAGTTCACATCTCTGGGCTTTGATTTCCTCCTCTACAAAAAGGATGTGACCACGGCACCTATTAGCTAAGCTGTTAGGATCAAGTAAAATGGTAGACATGAAGCACCTGGTACCTAGTATACAGTAAGCGCTCCATAAGTGCCTGGCATGATGCCCATATGATCATGAGCAGCATTTGCAGGGAGGGGCCGCTCTTCGGGAGCCCAGCATCCTCCCCCCGGCCCAGCAGCTCCCTCCCAGGCCCAAAGCCTCTTCCTCTTCCCTCTCACGACCCAGCCTCCCACTTCGCAAGGAGGAGGAACATCAGGACGGAGCTTCCTGGCCTCCCACCAGCCCCAAGCGGAGCTCCATCTGCACCACCTCCTGGTTGGCTGGGGCGCAGGGAGCCCTCCCCCAGCCTGACTTCCACCCTTCAGGATTCGCTCCCTCCATTCATGAGCCAGCTCTGCTCGGGGACCGGGCTCTAACAGCCCCTTCCCTCCCCAGCTAGGGCCGTTTCTCTCCTAGTTTATCTTGATCAGAATGCGTGCTGGGAACTTCATCTGAAATGCCACATGGTCGCCCTCAGGGTCTAGTCTGCAGTCCGGTGAGCTCCTTTTAGAGACCCCTGGAGGGAGGAATGGCACAGACCTCCAGAAACCAAGTCCTGCCTCCCCTTCCTCTGCCCTCAGATCTTGATGGAACCAGGCGCCCAGGTGGTCCCAGCTCTAGGCTGCACGGCTCTGGGTCTCTTTGCAGCAGCCACAACTGGGCTGTAGGGGGTGCTGTTTCCCCATGCTGCTCTCTCCTTGGTGTCTGGGCTGCCAGAGATCACTTCTTCCAAGCCCCAGCAAACATCCACTACCCGTTGACGAGGACCGAGTTGAGAAACTGCCTGGGCTGGCCTGGTGCCAGCAGGGAATGCTGTGGTTACTTTTGTGTGGGTGTCCTCAGGCCAGTGTGTCCCAAGCCCCCGGCCTCTGTGTGTGTGTGGTACTGGGGATTGAACCCAGTGGCTCCTGCATGCTAGGCAAGGGCTCTGCCACGGAGCTACATCCCCAGTCTAGGGATCTCCCTAGTTGCTGAGGCTGGCCTCAAATTTGTCATCCTCCTGCCTCAGCCTCCCAAGTTGCTAGGATTGTAGGTGTGTGCCACTGTGCCCTGCTCTCTTGGCCCTTTCTGTGGATGGTGTCGGGGAGACACTGGGCTGCTCTCCTGACCTGGTCCCGACATGTGTAGACTCCCCAGGGCCGAGGTGGACAGTCCCTGTGGGTGCAGGCACATGTGTACACAAGTGTGCAATGCCCCCTCCCCTCCAGGTTTCAGCCCGGTGGCTTTGGACTGCTTCTGCGTCCCCTGGGAACTTGACTGGCAGCTGCAAGTGGGCACACGCCTTCCCTGCTCACACCAGGGACTGCTGGGTACCTGGCTTGCCCCTGCCCCTTTATCCTCCAAGCTGACCTGGGTTCAGCCCTTGCTCTTCGCCTATAGCCTCTGTGGCCCCAGCCAGTCTCCGCCAGCGCTGCCCAGCCACCTCTGTCACTTGTGTCACTTCCCCGGCCACTCAGGCCTCGTTCCTCTGGGAAGCTTCCCTGATGCCCGGCAGGTGCCAGTTCCCACTTCTGTGAGCACCAGGATCCTGCACCCTGTCCCTTTCTCATGGGCTCTGCTGACCCTGTGGGGAGGGGGTGTGTCTGGACAGCGCCCCTGTCCATCAGGCCAGGAACTCCCCAGAGGGCCCAGTTTTGGGGGTCCCCACATTGCCCCCTCCTGCCTGTCCCTCAGGTCTGTTTTCCACAAGGAATCGATCCACACGCCTGTCCCGGCCGCCACGGCCGCCACGTCATTGCCCAGGTACTCGCTGCCTCTGACCCAGTTACCACGCATGTGACTTAGGAGGCACAGTGGCAGTGACAGAAACAGCACGGGCCTCAAGGCTCCGCAGCCTTGATCCCAACGTGTGCCACACTTTGGCTGGGTGACCTTCAGTGGGTCCCACTACTCCTCTGGTCCTCAGTTCACATATCCATACAGTGAAGAAAACAAGAATGCCACCAGCACTAACTGTCCCTCTTGCTACAGGGCCAGGGGCCACCTTGCCTGATTCCCAATATCCTCCAGGGTAGGTTTTTTTTTTTTTTTTAATTTTAATTTATTAATTTATCTTTGTGGTACTGGGGATTGAACCTAGGGGTGCTCTACCACTGAGCCACATCCCCAGCCCTTTTTTTATGTTTAATTTTGAGACAGGGTCTTGCTAAGTTGCTGAGGCATCCTCCTGCCTCAGCCTCCAGAGTCACTGGGATTACAGGCCTGGGCCACCGCGCCGGGGTAGGGTAAGTATTATTGATAACACCGTCACTTTAGATACACAAATGAGGTGCAGAGAGACTAAGTCCTGCACCCAAGGTCACACAGCCAGTCCTGAGCCTGGCTCCAGGCTGGCACTTCACCCACCGTATCTTCTAGAGCCAGCATGTTGGGCTCATCTCCCCCAGATCCCTTGGGAGCAGAGGGGGGCGGGGTCTCAGCCAGGGAAGCCCCGCCCTCCGGGCGGCCCTGCTGAACCTGCCTGGCACTGGGCACCGGGCTCGGGCTGCACAGGCGCCAGCTGCTCTGCTCCTTTTCCAGATGAGAACCCCAGGCCCCGAGTGAAGCAGGGACATCTGAGTGGCAGCGGGCGGGAAGGCCGCGAGGCGTTTCGCCGGCGCTGGGGGGACTAGATCCTCAAGTACGCATTGTCGCTGCAGCAACTAGAAGAGCAGCTGTGGCCTCTGCTGACCTCAGTCCCCTCGGGTAGTAGCTGCCACATCACCCACACTCAGGCTCACTCTGCAGCCCCTGGGGACCTCCTTAGGCCATGCACCTCAAGGGTGTGTCCTCCCTGGCCCCAAGGGAGGCCCTCCATCTCCCTTCTGAGTGGCCGAGAGCAGGTGGGGCCCCTCTTTAACGCAGCAAGGGTGGCTCTGCCATATGCTGGGAGGGCCACCGTGGTGGGGGAGGGTTTCCCAGGAGAGAAGCGAGACTGAACCGCCCACCACTTCCTGTTGGCAGGCAGCTGGGGCTGGTGTCACCCTGCGAAGCTACACCCGACTCAGGCCTGCCTTGAAGCCCTGCCCCCACCACGCGTGGACACACAGGCATGTCCCCAGGCACACACGGACACACAGGCATGTCCCCAGGCACACACGGACACACAGGCATGTCCCCAGGCACACACGGACACACACAGACCCGCGCAAATACACATGTGCGCAGACTCTGGAACACGCGTGCGCATGTAGGGAGCGCTGCCAGCTCGGCAGAATTCCCCTCATTGAGTCCTCACAAGAACAGTGGGAAGGGGACAGGAAGCGTCCTATGTTTTCTGAAAAAAAGCTTCATGGGGGGACAAACTCTACATGACAAAGCCGTCCATCAAGAGCATGCAGTTCAATGATTTCAGCCACTGCAGAGGCCAGCGACCCGGCCACATGGAGTGTGGCTCTGTTTTACAGATGAAGGTTGAGGATTTGCCATGGAGGACAGCCACCTGGCCGCCAAACTTGTTTCCCCTCCTGCAGTACAAAGTCACTGTTGGAAAGTGGCTGTCCCATAGGAAGCCACATCCTCAGCCTCCTTTGCATCCAGGTGTGGCTGTGAGGTCGGTTTCCCCCTGGGAATGTGAACCAAAGTGAGGTGTGTCACCTCTAATCTGGGGCTTGTCCAGATTCAAAGGCTCCTCTAGTCTCCTGGCCTGGTGCAGAGGACTCTAAAGGGTGATGGGGCCCCAGGAATGAGGGGCCCAGGCATCAGGAGGACCCTTGTTCCTGGACGGGGCACCTCACTTCCCTGGGTTAGTATCACTCTTCCAAGACCCTGTGGAAGGCAGCCATGTGCTGGCGTCTCAGGCACCGAGGAGCCCCTGTGACTTCACCTGCGGGCCAGGGTTCCCTGTCTGCTTTATTCTGAGCACGAGAAGCGAACTTCTGCTGTCAGGCTGCGACCTGGGCTGACTTATCACAGCAACTGGTGCTGCTCCGGTTCAAGGGCTGTGTAGCCAGGACGCAGAGCTAAGATCTGAATCTCCATGTGTTCAGATGCCTGGAACCTAGCCAGAGGTTACCCCGGATAGTGACAACACTGCGGCCAAGTGACAAGAATCCAACTGTAGGAGTGAGTGGGGGTGACGAATCTGTCGAGAAGAGAGCCTGCCATTCCCCCGCTTTGTGGGAGAATAACACTGGCCACATATTTACTGAGCGTTTACCATGTGCCGGGTGCTGTGCTCACCACGCTGGGCCACGTCACTTCATGATCACTGTCCTGGGAGGTAGAAGCTGGCTGTTGCTATCTTTGGTTCTGCTGTGGCTTCACCATCCCCTCTAGAATCCATGTTGATATTTAATTAAGGGGTGGGATCGCAAGAACTGGCTAGGACACAATGGCTGTGTCCTCATGAATGGGCTAATGCCATTACTGTGGGGATGGGTTCCTTATGAACGCTGAGTCCAGCCCCCACTTGGCCTCTCTCTCTTGTCCTGCTGCCTTCCACCATGGGATGGCTGAGCAAGAAGGCCCTTGTCAGACGCCAGCACCTTGACCTTGGTCTTCTGAGCCTCCAGCATTGTGAGAGATAAACTGCTGCTCATTATTAATTACCCCGTCTGTGGTACTGTTGCAGTGGCCCTAAGTGGCCTAGGACCACTACTGAGGCCCAGAGGGGCTAAGTAGTTCGCCCAAGAGTTTGTAGTTAGCAGAGCTGTGATTTGAACTCAGGCTGCTGATCCCAGGCTGTCACGCTCCGTGTCCTGTGAGGCTCCTGAAG